AAATACGCACAAAAACATCAAAATTAGCGCAGAAACAGTACTATATAACATTTTAGACACATTCTAGACAGTTTATCAGCTAAAAAAAGTTAATTTGGTGGTAAGTTACTCTTTAAACACCTCCATCACCTGCAATTTTGAGCGCGCCTTGCACTAGTAGCGCAAACCGAACCGAGTCGAGACAGGCCGCGTCGCGCGAAGACTGAGTCTAGATTCACTGTTTATGTTCTTCTAATTAAATAATACAGTATATTGAGTAACAGACAAACATTTGTTTGCCCCTAATTAAAGCAAAGATGAATCTCAGTTTAACATTTACCTCCTCATCATCACCAGGAGAACAGCACCATGTTCCAAATGTTTTGTAGTTTATACCTTTATTCTTCATAGTTTTATTGGAATAACAATGTTTTGATGTGTTAAGCTTGTTTATATTTCCAACCATACTGTGGCAGAACTGCTGTGAGATATATAAATGCAATTCAATAAATGATCAAATATGAAGAATAAATAGTATTAAATGATTACATGAGCTGAAACCATTTAAATATATTTTTAACAAAATATTAATTAAAAAAATCAGTCAAATAAAAAATGTAGTTTTCAATACAAAAGACAGATATGTGCTATAATTTTTTAGGCATAAACGTTTGAGAAATGAGGTATGACCAGTTATACACACACACGCTGTATGTTTTGGATGTTTTCCTGCTTTGGCACACCTGATTTAAAATAATGAGTGATTGACAGGCATCTGCAGAGTTTAAAAACTGCTGAAGAGCAGGGAAATGACTAAAACATGCAGGATAATGGTCGTCAAGGACCGGGATTATGAATCACTGGTTTAAACTGAGGTTCATATTGACAAACTACTGATACGTATATCAGATTTAGTGCCAGATTCTAATTTTTAAAATGTGTTTTTAAAATCACTGTGTAATATTTAAGCTCTAACTCAGTAAATACTTGTATCAGTACTCTATATCTGCGTGTACCCAAAGTGAAGTACTCCTCCTCAGTTTGTATTGGTGTATCAATACTTGTCTTTTATCTCAGAGTTTTTTCTGTTTGTATTGTTTCGCACTTTGTGTGTCTGTGTGAGAGGAAGTGCTTCTCTGTCTTTTCTACATCTCTCCAGCTGTCTGTCTCTCTTCTCAGTGTCTCAGCTGTCTTTCTCTCTTCTCTGTATCTCAGCTGTCTGTCTCTCTTCTCTCAGTATCTCAGCTGTCTGTCTCTCTTCTCTCAGTGGTCTGTCTCTCTTCTCTGTTTCAGCTGTCTGTCTCTCTTCTCTGTGTCTCAGCTATCTGTCTCTCTTCTCTGTGTCTCAGCTGTCTGTCTCTCTTCTCTGAGCTGTCTGTCTCTCTTCTCTGTGTCTCAGCTGTCTGTCTCTCTTCTCTGTGTCTCAGCTGTCTGTCTCTCTTYTCTGTGTCTCAGCTGTCTGTCTCTCTTCCCAGTGTCTCAGCTGTCTGTCTCTCTTTTCAATGTCTCAGCTGTCTGTCTCTCTTTTCAGTGTCTCAGCTGTCTGTCTCTCTTTTCAGTGTCTCATCTGTCTGTCTCTCTTCTCTCAGTGTCTCAGCTGTGTGTCTCTCTTCTCAATCTCAGCTGTCTGTCTCTCTTCTCTCTATCTCAGCTGTCTGTCTCTCTTCTCAGTGTCTCAGCTGTCTGTCTCTCTTCTCAGTGTCTCAGCTGTCTGTCTCTCTTCTCAGTGTCTCAGCTTTCTGTCTCTCTTCTCTCAGTGTCTCAGCTGTCTGTCTCTTCTCACTGTCTCTCTTCTCTGCGTCTCACCTGTCTGTCTCTCTTCTTTGTGTCTCATCTGTCTCTCTTCTGTGTTTCAGCTGTCTGTCCCTCTTCTCTGTGTCTCAGCTGTCTGTCTCTCTTCTCAGTGTCCCAGCTGTCTGTCTCTTTTTTCAGTGTCTCAGCTGTCTGTCTCTCTTCTCTGTGTCTCAGCTGTCTGTCTCGCTTCTCAGTGTCGCAGCTATCAGTCTCTCTTCTCAGTGTCTCAGCTGTCTGTCTCTCTTCTCAGTGTCTCAGCTGTATGTCCTTCTTCTCAGTGTCTCAGCTGTATGTCCTTCTTCTCAGTGTCTCAGCTGTGTGTCTCTCTTGTCTCAGTTTCTCAGCTGTGTGTCTCTCTTGTCTCATTGTCTCAGCTGTGTTGTCTCTCTTCTCGGTGTGTCAGCTGTCTGTCTCTCTTCTCTGTGTTTCAGCTGTCTGTCCCTCTTCTCTGTGTCTGAGCTGTCTGTCTCTCTTCTCAGTGTCTCAGCTGTCTCTCTCTTCTCTGTGTCTCAGCTGTGTGTCTCTCTTCTCAGTGTCTCAGCTGTTTGTCTCTCTTCTCAGTGTCTCAGCTGTCTCTCTTCTCTCAGTGTCTCAGCTGTCTGTCTCTGTGTCTCAGCTGTGTGTCTCTCTTCTCTCGGTGTCTCAACTGTCTGTCTCGCTTCTCTGTGTCTCAGCTGTCTGTCTCGCTTCTCAGTGTCGCAGCTATCAGTCTCTCTTCTCAGTGTCTCAGCTGTATGTCTCTCTTCTCAGTGTTTCAGCTGTATGTCCTTCTTCTCAGTGTCTCAGCTGTGTGTCTCTCTTCTCTCAGTGTCTCA